TCAATGTGATCCCTATATAGAGTACACTGACTTTTCTTCTGCTATGAAAATAAAATACTTTGCCTTCAAAGCGGAGAAAAGAAAAGGGCACGTTGAGTGACATGTATACTATTATATTACCGTCTATAATAGTTGACCTGAAATCTTCAGCTGGCAGCAATGGATTGGTCTGCACTGAGCAATACACCTCCAGCGGTAGGGAGGATAGTACAATTAGCCAGTAACTTCTCTCTGAACATATAAGACAAATCCAGGAGAGATGTGTCTGAATCTTCCAGGCCACTGCTGCTGGAAAGTGAACTAGTCACACGCCAATGACAGAGCGGAGACAAATGACTGGACTCCCTGCTCTCTGCACTGTCTGCTATTTAACCCTAGAGGAATACAAGTTACAATAACTAATCTTCACAATGTTTCCAGCTCAGTGGAGTCAGGTTGGGCTGGATTACTCTACAACTGATAAAACAGTTGAGGTTTTTTTCCACTGTTCCGTCTTGTCATACACGGCAACGTAATACTGTCCATTTGTCGAAAAAATTAGATGGAGCGTCCGCTTAAAAAAAAAAGTTATGAAAATTTGGAACGCAATTTTGGCACGTTGTTGTTTCAACGCTCTGCCCTTCTTTGTAACAAAAGTGAAACATTGCATGAAAAATAGGAACGCTGAGATATGAGATGGTGGAGACCAGGCAGGAGAGACCTCACTACTTTACTGCATGGTCCTAAAAGTAGTATATCCAATCAAATCTTGTATTATAATTTTGAGTAGATGTTGGCAAGTTAACCACTTGAGCTCTGGAAAGTTTTACGCCCTTCATAACCAGGCCATTTTTTTGCTTTTCACCACTGTTCCTTTAATTCAGAATTGCACAGTCATGCAACACTATACCCATATGAAATGTATAGAATTTCTTTTACACAAATAGAACTTTCTGTGTTTTTTTATTTTTTATTATATAAAAGAAAAAAGACCTAAAAAAAGGGCCCCTTTGTGTATACATGCCTGTTACAATTCCCCTTCTGCTGGTTTTATTGTGGTGTCGTGTGTGTCATCATATAGTCCCAGGCAGGAGCATGCCTGTGAGGGTAGATCCAGGGAGCCCTATGTGCCAATGGGGCCACCCTCTAGGGGGAATGCCAAGTGATCCCAATTTTGACGACAAGTTTCCTGCAAATAGGTGAAATCCAACGACTTGAAGTATGGCAATAACCATATATTTTAACAGCGAGGGTTTAATAAAACTTTAAATTTGCTTGCATAATTGTAGCCTTGTAGTGAATATATTGAAACTCCCTCCTCATCAGCCTACCTCTATACTGGCTATATCCCCTTCAGTCCGCCATGAATGATGCTGCCAGACTCATCTACCTGACCAACTGCTCTGTCCATCATCTATCTCAGCCAATCCCTCCACTGGCTTCTGAATGCCCAATGAATAAGATTTAAAATACTAACAATATATAAAACCATCCACAACTCTGCCCCAAGCTACACCACCAACCTCATCTATAATATCACCCAAACCATTGACTGCTCATCCTAAATTGTCCTGCTGTATAGTTTATTTGTCTCCAGGGCTGTTGTTGGAAACCACAGGGCCCCCTACAGCCAGGCTGACAGCCCCCCCCCCCAAAAAAAAAAAAAAAAAAACAGTTTACTATGCTTCAGTTATGAAGGAACACACTGAATGATTGGTACCAATCACTCATTATGATCATTTAGGAAAGGAAGGGGCTGCTAAATGTGACATATTAACCAAATCCTTCCCCCACTCTCCACCCTGAAGGATCTTGTTGTGTGCTTGCAGCTGCCAGTGGAATGGAGAGGAGGAAAGTTGGCAGCAGTGAGGGGTTGGGGACAAAAGGGGGAAATATATGGTGCAAAGGGAGGGTGATGGGTGCGGTGGGGGGGGGGCAATTACTGAAACCAGTGGAAAAGAGAGAAGCCAATTTTCAGCTGCTGTAGAGGGAGCCATAGAGGGGAACAGTTCCAGTAATGCCCCACCCCCTTCCTACTGTGCCAATCACCCTCCTTGCTCATATCCCCTTCACCCAGCTGCCTGGACCCCCCGGCTGGCCTGGGCCCTGTACAGAAGGACTGGTGGTACCCCCCCTTATCCACGGCCCTGCTTGTCTCCTTCTCCCATGCTCGCCTCCAGGACTTTTTAGGAGCCTCTCTCCCATCCTCTGATGCTCCCTGCTTCAAACCATCCTGTCATCTTCTACCCTTTCCACCTTTAGGTAATCTCTAAAATCAAATTTTTAGGGAAGTCTCTCCAACTTCTACCTAAAGTTTTTCTTTCTTCATTAACTAATCCCCCACAGTTATTACCTTTTGTATCACTTGTCCCTTCACATTAGACTGTAAGCTCTCAAGTGCAGGACCCTTCTAAAGCTGGCCATAGATGGTTCCAAATTTTGATCCATGCATGGCCATGCCCGTTTGACGGAAGTCAATTTTTAGATCGACTTCTGTTGAACGGGAATGTTGGAAAACTTTCCTTGATCAGAACCTGCAGCTACTGATTGCTGTATTCTAATAGCTGGGTAGTCTCATTGTCAGAATACTGTACAGTGAGTAAGTGGAGATGATTCCTCTATCCACCTTGCTTGAGTGAATACAGGAATCCATCTGTTTTTTTTTTTCGTGATCAGCCAGGAATCATAAATGGTCACCTCTATGGTCACCTCAAAGCAGAACTATACTCATCTTCTCTCCAGCACTGCAGTATCCCAGAGCTCCATGCCAGCCGTTGTCGTCTTTGGCTGGATACACTGCCGGGTACCAATCTTTAGCCATTTTGATTGGCCCAGCCAGGATGACGTCACTGTTACACAAACATGGAGTTCATTCATCTCAGTATCGCCAAAATTGCACACTGAGCCGTGCATGCGCAGCTTAGTGTACAGGGCATACAGGCAGGTAAGGCACTTAATGCAGGAAAGATATGGAATATTTCTCATCTGCATTGAAAATCCTGACTGTTTGCAATTTCTTTCTCTTTTTGTTGTTGCTGTATTAAACTCCAAAGCAAACATCTATTATATTGCAGCTTACCGATTCTTAGATGTGCTGGCTGCATTAGATTTCTTTTTTAGACTTTCTTTCGTTTATTTTCACCTGGTGATCCAGCCAGTAAGTCTGTTGTTTTTCAAAAGAATAAGCTCTCCTGCAAATGTATAAGTTTCAGGGATGAGACAAACCAGGGGTGGCAGGGGTGCTTACAATGATTAGTTTTATTTATGCAAAACCTTCATACCAAAAGGAAAAAAACTGTAACTGCTTATAAAGTGTTAGCTGGAGTTTGGCTTCAATCTGTTAGTGTATTTAAATCTGCTAGTCCATCTAACACTACCCCCCACTCCAGACAGACAATGCTGATGTCCAAAGGTGCCCCATCATCCAGAGTGAGGCGCGCTCTAATAGCAAGTGTGTTACTGGCCAGATCACCAGGTGAATACACCTAAAAAAAAGAAAACGAATGCAACCACCACATCTATGGATTGGTAAACTGCAATATTTTTTTTTATATTATATTTTTGGTTTGGGGTTTAATACATGTTTAAAGTTCCACTTTAACCTTCTTGTCTTGAGTTCTGTTATAACAGTACCATGCCCCCCTTTGTATTGTAAAATCCTGCACAAATTGTTGGCTCTATATCCTGTATACTAATGTAGCACTGCCCCCTTAAGAGCCACTGAGTATTTTTGGGTTCCCTGTCTGTTCTGAGCCTGATTTGGAAGCACAACCCCTGCTGACACCACTGTAAAACCTTACAAAGCTGGCCCAGTTGCAAACATGAAAAGAGATAACAGTGTGTACAGCCACTAGACACTCTGCACGCCTCAGCCAAATGATCAAACACAGTACCACTTTTTAGAACCAACCCAAAATGTCCTGCAGGATCAAAATTTAAATGCCAATCCTCACACTGAGGTATTTTTTTTTCCCAAAAATGAGCTTTAGTAGGCTATAAAGAATTTGGCCTAACTCACTTTTGGATTCTCAGTTGTTTAGGAACAGGGTTTGAATAGAAAATGAATATACAGATGTTAATGTCCCCTTTAATACATCCGCAGAATAAAAAAAGAAAACAACTCTTCTGCGTGCTTGTTGGGGCCCTAGTTGGTGCACATTAAGGTTGAGGTCCTTTTTGCCCGAGAGCAAGATTTATTGAAGAAGGAAAAGTACAGTAGTAGAAAAAAATCTTCACTTGACTGATGGTAGCAAAGTTAGAGAAAGGGTACCTTAGTGGAAGTAGGTGAAGGCAAAAGATCTCAGTATAAATGAAGAAGGGGGGGGGGGGGCAGGACTCCAATAGAATTTGTGTTCTAACAGTTGACTTAACAATTGACTTAATGAAGCAAGCTCCTTTTATGGCTATAATGTTGGAAATGAGATGTTAACAATGTCACTGTCCAGAAAGACACATGTGTTGCAGGAGTAGTCCTGCGTCCAAATGGGGGGGACACAGAAGCTGTAGGCTGCAGTAGTGAATTGGGCAAAGAAGTCTATGTTGCAGGTGGTAAACTGTAATGCAAAGTGTACTGCACTGCTATAACTGAAAAAAGAACAAAATATCTGGTAACTGAAGACAGTTTGGGTTGTGGAACCCTCTCTCCAAGTCTGTAGTCTGAGCAGAGTATAGAACATTTTGTTTGGTTGGGGGGCCCCCTTTGTGCTTCTGGTTCCTCTGAGAACAGAACAATACCAGGCACGATCTTACGACCTGTCTGCCTTCAGGGTCAGCCCTCCTGCTTCTCAGCAATGCCAGCTATCTGTATTCCTTCATTTTGGCTCTCCGATGCAACTCAATCTGGCCTGGGGCCACCGAGCCCTGAACCAGCATCCAGCAGACGCCCCCCCTCTCACAGAGTCTCTCTCCTCCCTCCAGGATGTTCCCAGGCTTTCATATAGGTACCTGCCTCTTTGTCAGCTCCTCTGTGAAATGTAGTCTGCTTGTGCACAACAGTCCAGCATACAAGTTCAACAATACCTTACTAAACTCAAGTCTGTGATACCTAAATTACAGAACACCGCCATCTTGTGGTTAATCATCATCCTGCAAACAGTAACAGTGCAGTGTGTTACATTAAAGTGCTACTATACCCAGGACCCTGCATTCACTATATCTGGTCTCCCCGGACCTGCATTCACTATATGTGGTCTCCCCAGACCCCGCATTCACAATATCTGGTCTCCCCAGACCCTGCATTCACTATATCTGGTCTCCCCGGACCCGCATTCACTATATGTGGTCTCCCCAGACCCCGCATTCACTATATGTGGTCTCCCCCGGACCCTGCATTCACTATATCTGCTCTCCCCGAACCCTGCATTCACTATATCTGCTCTCCCCGGACACTGCATTCACTATATCTGCTCTCCCCCCGACCCTGCATTCACTATATCTGCTCTCCCAGGACCCTGCATTCACTATATCTGGTCTCCCAGGACCCTGCATTCACTATATCTGGTCTCCCCAGACCCTGCATTCACTATATCTGCTCTCCCAGGACCCTGCATTCACTATATCTGGTCTCCCTGGACCCTGCATTCACTATATCTGGTCTCCCAGGACCCTGCATTCACTATATCTGGCCTCCCCGGACCCTGCATTCACTATATCTGGTCTCCCTGGACCCTGCATTCATTATACCTGGTCTCCCAGGACCCTGCCTTCATTATACCTGGTCTCTCTGGACCCTGAATTCACTATATCTGGTCTCCCCGGACCCTGCATTCACTATACCTGGTCTCCCCAGACCCTGCATTCACTATATCTGGTCTCCCCGGACCCTGCATTCATTATACCTGGTCTCCCCGGACCCTGCATTCACTATACCTCTGCTCTCCCTGGACCCTGCATTCACTATATCTGGTCTCCCCGGACCCTGCATTCACTATATCTGGTCTCCCCGGGACCCTGCATTCACTATATCTGCTCTCCCTGCACCACGCATTCACTATATCTGGTCTCCCTGGACCCTGCATTCACTATATCTGGTCTCCCACAGTACACAGAACATGAAAGTGCAATTATTTTAGTAAATATAAACTGCTAAATACCTTTTCTAATCAGCAGTATAGAGCAGTCTTGTGACTTCTATCAGTGTCCAGTCGAGCATATGTTAAAACTTGTAGGAGGAGTTTTAATTCTGCTCTAGGAGGAAGCAGGACCCCTGACCTCTGTCTAGGCAGTGCTGACTGGCCCTGTGCTGATCACATGCACTCTCCCAAGAAAAAAAAACTCTCTAGCTATAAACACCAAACTGAGCATGTGCAGAGTGACTCCACACTATATGTCTTATCAGGAGGTAAGAGTGGGGCACTGCAAGAAGGGGAGGATCAGAGAAGACAGGATCAAACAGCCCTTTTACACAATGCAGAGGATTAACCCCTTAGGTTCCACAGTGAGTATAACAAGCATGCTTTACTGCATATACAGACTGAGTTTACTGTTGTGGGTTTAGTAACACTTTAATAATACATTCAAATGTGTTACTTTTTCAAGCCCAGTAGAATATCTAGTATTCTTTCTTATTACATGATCCCACTGATCTTCTTATTACATCTGTAATTAATCTGTAGCCAGGTGTAGGCTGTATCATTATGCCTTTCAGGGGCATTTACAAAGAAGACTATGATTACTCCTTTTCCCCCTAGTGCTCAGTACTGGGGCTGCTACATCACTTCCTGTTAGAGTGGATCCAATTCTTCTGTCAGCAGATGATCTTGGGACATGTAGTCCTATAAGCAAAACATCCTGTATTCTTGACTGCTGCTTGAACTACATTTACAAGAGAGCTGGCGAACCTGAAGGATGCTGGGAGAGCAGACATATTCTACAGAAAGGGACTGGTGTGCTCCCTTGGTGCAGGATTCAGAGCTGAACACAGGGGGACTACTATTCTTCTCGAGACAGATTGCTGGCCTACTGCTGGGGTACTCTGCACATCAGTACAGCACAGCAGTGACACTGATTGCCACTCTGGGATCGCATCAGCCTCTCTGCATCAGGACTCCCATTATCCAGTGTTCACTCAATCATCTCTGATGACAGGCTTTCAGGCGGTAACTCTGCACATCCTGCAAACAGCTATGAGTCTGGGCAAGAACTCTGTTCCTTTGACGCCGTGCTAGCCGTAAGATTTCTGTCATCACTCTAGAGACACTGCATGCAGCCCCATTACACTGCAGTATCAAGAGATCTTTGCTTTGAGCAGTACCACAGCTTACTGTATCTGTTTAAATTAATTACCAGTATTCACTAATGTTTATGGGCCCCACCATTGCTAGCAGAAGACAACAAACAACACCACCATATCAGGAACTTTATAGAAATTTAAATTTTTTCTTTAACAAACATGTCTATACTTACCTTGTCTGTGCAATGGAATTGCACAGAGCAGCCACAAACCTCTTTTCAGGTCCCCCGCTGGCCCCTCCTGTCTGTTCAGTGCCCCCAGGGGAAAACGCTTCCCATGGGGCACACATGCGTACATTTTCCAGAGCCCCGCTGGCATGTCCATTGACACAGACAGCAGGACGCAGCCCCGTCCCCTGCTCCCTTGTCACTGGCTTTTAGTGTTGGGCATGATGTTCTAGTCAAACATAAGTTTGACTCGAACATCGACAATCCATGTGTTCAGCGAACACACAAATGGTAACGGCATTCAGTGGACTCTTCACCCGCTGTGCCCCACAATGCACTGCACCCTGACAGTGCATTGTGATTGGCCAAAGCAACGCACCTGACCACAGGTCAGGCACAATGCTTTGGCCAATCACAGCACATGATGATGAAGTCATAAGGGGGTGGGGGTGACCTGGCCCACATGTGACGTTATCCCAGTATTTAATAACTGCCATCCCAGCGCAGCTGTCAAACGGGTCGGCTGTGGCGCCAGGCATCGTGGTTAACGTTGGATCTACTTTGGGGACATTTTTCTTATTTTTGTGTTTAATGAAGGACTTGTCAAAGACTGTCTACTGTCATTTTTTACACTACACTTTTTTTTTGTGAATGAGTAGCGGTACCATGTACCCCATACTCATTTACATAAGGAAGGGGCAGGATCTGGGGGCCCCTTGTTAAAGGGGGCTTCCAAATTCTGATAAGCCCCCCGCCTGCAGACCCCCACAACCACCAGACATGATTGTGGGGAAGAGCCCCTTGTTTCCATGAACATGGGGACAAGGTGCTTTGGGGGGAGCCCCCCCACCCCAAAGCACCCCCAAATGTTGAGGGCATGTGACCTGGTATGGTTGAGGGGGGGGGGGCCTCGCTGCTCAGATAAGGGTCTGGTATGGATTTTGGGGATCCCCATCCCAATTTTTTTTTTTTTTGGCATGGGGGTTCCCCTCAAAATCCATACCAGAACCGAAGGGTTTAATACGGATAGGGGGGACCCCATGCTTTTTGTTTTTTTTTTCAATTGCAGGGCAATTTTAAAAGGGATCTCTTCTCTTATAATGCCATTATTATTCAGATTAGGATACTTATATCTCTTTATGCCGGAGTATACATTTACATAATTTTCATAATTCATATATTCAGCCCGTTGCGGTGCCGGTGGCCTAGAGGGAGCTGATAAGTCAACAAGCCATTTCTTCCCTCTCTTACTGCTGCTGTTGCAGTTTAATAGCTGAAGCTTACTACTCATGACTGTATAATTTATTAAAGTTTGCTAATTGATTATTATTTTACCAGTGTTCTATTCTTATGCGTTAACTGGTGTTGTATATCCTAAACCAGAGCTTGAAATTTCCACTCACCTGCTCGCCAATGGCGAGTGGAAATTATGGTGGGGGCGAGTGTGTCCCCCAGGGCCGTCTTGTTGAGCAGGCTCAGAGCTCAGGCCGGATCTGTCATTGGCACTGGGAGCCGTCAGACTGCTTAATAGGTGAGTGAAAGCAAAGCAAGGAGTGCGTGCTGTGCTCTCTGCCTCCCCTTAGAGTGCATTACTCGGCTCTGTGAGTGAACAACGAAGTACTGCAACTTTTTATAGGGGGGGGTGTACGTGTACATGTGTATTTGTGTGTGTCTGTGTATTTATGTACAATTGTACATGTGTCTGTGTGTATGTACATGTGTGTATCTGTACATGTGTGTGTGTATATACATGTATGTGTGTGTGCATGTACATGTGTGTGTGTTTGTGTGTATGTACGTACATGTGTCTGTGTGTACATGTGTCTGTGTATGTATGTACATGTGTCTGTGTGTGTGTATTTCTGTGTATGTACATGTATCTGTGTGTATGCGTGTCTGTATGTGTCTGTGTGTGTATACATGTGTCTGTACAGTTGCAAGAAAAAGTATGTGAACCCCTTGGGATTACGTGGAGTTTTGCATGAATTGGGCATAAAATGTGCTCTGAACGTCATCTAAGTCACAACAATAAAAGAACACAGTCTGGTTCTTGGTTTGGGGCTGCTTTGCTGCCTCAGGGCCTGGACGGATTGTTGTCATTGATGGGAAAAAAATGAATTCCAGAGTTTTATCAAGACATTTTGCAGGAAAACGTACGACCATCTGTCCGCCAACTGAAGCTCCGCAGAGGATGGGTGATGCAACAGGACAATGACCCAAAGCATACAAGTAATTCAAGAAAACAATGGCTGCAACAGCACAGAATACGCCTTCTGGAGTGGCCCAGTCAGAGTCCTGACCTCAACCCGATTGAAATGCTGCGGCATGACCTTAAGAGAGCGATTCACACCAGACATCCCAAGAATATTGCTACACTGAAAACAGTTTTGTGAAGAGGAGTGGTCCAAAATGACTCCAGATCGTTGTGCAGTTCTGATCTGCAACTACAGGAAACTTATGTGCAATTAAACCGTGGCAACATCTAATGTTTGTGTAGTATTATGTTCAGCAGACTGTGTTCTTCTTCTGTTGTGACTTAGATGACGTTCAGAGCACATTTTATGCCCAATTCATGCAAAACTCCACGTAATCCCAAGGGGTTCACATACTTTTCTTGCAACTGTATGTGTGTGTGTGTACATGTGTCTCTGTGCGTGTGTGTATGTACATGTCTGTATGTGTGTACAGGTGTCTCTGTTTGTGTGTGTTTGTTGGTGGCGAGTAACTCTAAGGCCTGGCTAGTAAGCTCATGACTTGAAATTTTAAGCCCTGTCCTAAACCCATTATTCTTGTTGTTTACTCTTTTGAACAAGTCTAATATAGAGGTGTCACGAAAGAATAGTGTCTCTTGCATTATTATCCTATACTGATAAACTATATCTGAACCCAGAGTATCAGACGTGTCGGGAGGCTTGAAAGATCAGATAAACCATTAGGGACAAGTATTATCAAGCGGCCCCTATGGGAGCAGCGCTACAAATCCATAGGTTTACATCCAGTATGTTCAAGTCTATTTTCCCACAGATAGGATGTGGGTTTATCAAGATGCTAATAACATTTTACTTCTTCAGAGAGATCATTAATAAGAGCCGTTTATACTTATTATAAATGTCTCCTATCGCCTACAATCTGCTGCCATTAACATCACGCGAATCCGATAGTTAAATCCTACAGAGCGGGTAATAAATACTACAGAGAAGCTGGTATGTTGCTGAGGACGGCACTGTGATTACAAAGACCTCTCTTTGTAATAGATTATCAAAGCTGACTCTTCTATTCCATTGAGTATGTTTTGCAACTCTATAAAAATGCTGACTTTAAATTTTTGTTCTTGCGAGAGCGGCGGGATGTTTTTTTTTTCTTCTCCCTGCGAGTTAGTACTATTGATTCGGCACACCTAAGGGTCAGACATATAATCGATGCACCTAGTGACCTCTGCCTGTGTCCTGGCCTGCAGGGGTCTGAGAAACAAGCGGCGAACGCAACAATTCCTGTCTCACCTTTCCTCACGACAATTCTTCACGGAGAGGAAAAAAAAAAAAAAGCTGCATGCCTCAGAACTCCTTCATCTGACAGAGCCGGGAATAACAAAGTGAGCTGATCAATGCCATAATCTGTGGTGCAGTACAAAGAACCGATTGCTTTAGCGCTTCTAAGGAAAGGCGGGTTGGGGATACCTTTATTTGCAGGGTACAATAGAGGTTTGTGGATGGCGCCTTGAGGTTTTCATTATTTACGAAGTCTTTTCAATTAGCATTAGTGTTTTATCAATAAACGCCTATTATGGGCTTGGATTCCATTCGCCTTATGTAATCTAAAAAAGGTGCGCTCCTTTCTTTTTCCCGCAAATACACTGAGAGAAAAGACCAATTTACAAAAACATGGCTGTGGGATCACCATTTTTTTTTTTTTACTTTTATTTGTAGTGCCATTTGTACTGTCATTAGTACTGCCATTTGTACTGTCATTAGTACTGCCATTTGTACTGTCTTTAGTTCTGTAAATTGTGTAGCACCCTCCTAGATAACTAGGGGGAGCCAGATTCTAATTGTTAGGCAGGGGCTGTGTAGCAGCCTGGTGCAACAGTCAGAGGGAGGTCAAATTGTGGTCAGGGCTGAGAGGCTCTGCAGACCAGCTCCTCTGGAATTTCCCTGTGCTCTAGAACTTTGGAGAAAGGTCTAGAAGCAGTGGGTAGATCTGAGGAGTGGCTGGATTGTACTCTTAAGGGATCCTGGCCAATCCCCAACAGGAGGCTTGACAAGGGACAACTTTAGGACAACCTCAGCAGCATGAGAGTTCAGGTGGAAGAGAGAGAGAAGGACGTGAGGCTGCAAGCAGGATCCTGTAAGGGGGTCTAGATGGAGAGGGGCTCACCTGCAGGCAGAGTACATTGGAAGGCTGAAAACTTGGGACTTCACTGGCCCCCTGAGAGAGGACTACCTGTGTGACAGGGAAGGAGCGTCCCAAATAGAAGGCCTGGTAGCAGCCACCGACCCTCTGGCAGCACAGGAGAGGGGACTAAGTGAGTAAACCTGCACCCCCTGGGCCAGTAAGGGGAAAGGAGAAAGGGCTGAGAGTGGGGAACTGGATTTGCAATCTTACCCGGGACTGTTTCACACTGCAGTGGCAGACACTGGATCCCCAGCCCAGGGATTCACCCAGTACAGCTGGATGAGGAGAGGAGTCATCTGGGGTCTGAGGTGGTACTACGGGAAATGCTGGCTAGCTCTCCAGAAGAAAAAAAATTGCTGTAAATACTTGTACATAGTTGCTAAGGAGTTTGCCTTCAGTTGCCATTCCCTTGGGCATCCCATAATCCCCTTACTCCATCCAAGTTCTAAACCTCCTAATAAAACTTCAAAACAAAGCTCAAGGACTGGTTACTCTCTCCTGATGCAAGTCTGAATGAAGGAAATGCATGTTGCCTGGCTTTGAAGGACTATAGGGCGACCCAACTCTCTTGCAACTCCTAAGGGGGTAATGCTACATTTGTGTTTTTATTTGTACTGCTGTTTGTACTGTCATTTGTATTTGTTATTTGTACTGCCATTTATACTGTCATTAGTACTGCCATTTGTACTGTTATTTGTACTGGTATTTATACTGTCATTTGCACTCTTATTTTTGCTGTCACTTGTACTGGCATTAGTATTGTTATTTGTACTGCCATTTATACTGTCATTTGTACTGTTATTTGTACTGCCATTTGTAGTTATTTGTACCATCATTTGTACTGTCATTAGTACTGCCATTTGTACTGTTATTTATACTGTCATTAGTATTGTTATTTGTACTGCTATTTATATTGTCATTTGTACTGCCATGTGTAGTTATTTGTACCATAATTTGTACTGTCATTACTACTGGCCATTAGTATTGTTATTTGTACTGCCATTTATACTGACATTTGTACTGTTATTTGTACTGACATTTGAAGTTATTTATACTATCATTTGTACAGTCATTAGTACTGCCATTTATACTGTCATTAGTACTGTCATTGGTATTAATTTGTATAGTTATTTACACTGTCATTTGTACAGCCATCATTTGTATAGTTTTTTTTTACTGTCATTTGTATTAATTTTTACAGTTTTTTGCTGTCATTTGTGCTGCCATTTGTACTGATATTTTAGCTGTCATTTGTACTGATATTTTAGCTGTCATTTGTGCTGCCATTTGTACTAATATTTTAGCTGTCATTTGTACTGATATTTTAGCTGTCATTTGTACTGCCATTTGTATAGTTTTTGTGCTGTCATTTGTATTAATTTGTACTGATATTTTAGCTGTCATTTGTGCTACCATTTACTATAACCAACGCCCATGAAAGGGGCGTGTTTTCCCACATAGTGATACAGGTGTTCTGTGTATCCCTGAGCAGGCAATCCTATTCATGTCAAATTGGATGCAGCAGCTGCGCTGACATAGACACAGCCGCTGCTTCTAAATTCTCACCTCGGTCACATCAAGCCCGACTTTGAAATCATGCGGCTTACAGTGAAGTTGCACAATTTCAAAGTCGGCGGACATGCCGATTTTAGGTGCGATTTGCAAGACATCCGACACAGAGGTCTACGCAAATTGCACCAAAAGTAGTACATGTACTACTTTAGAAATCGGTGCGGCTCCGGAACCGCACAGATATGACTGCTGTAATTGTGGACAATAGGGTGAGACTTGGCATGCGATTTGCAAGTCACATGGCATGCAAATCCCATGCCAAGTTGAACCCAGTGCAACCGGGGTCTTAACAGCCAAGCGGGTGTACGGTCCTGAACACACACTGTCTGTGGTTGAAGCCATGCACCTGCACTCGCACAGCTGTCAAAATAGGAGCAGCAGCTGTGTCCATGCAGTCGCTGCATCCCAACTAACATGAATGGGACTGCCTGCATGGGGATGCAGGGAATACGTGCATCCTGGTGCAGACATACAGTGGGGATCGAAAGTTTGGGCACCCCAGCTAAAAATTTGTATTAATGTGCATAAAGAAGCCAAGGAAAGATGGAAAAATCTCCAAAAGGCATCAAATTACAGATTAGACATTCTTATAATATGTCAACAAAAGTTAGATTTTATTTCCATCATTTACACTCTCAAAATAACAGAAAACAAAAAAATGGAGTCTGCAAAAGTTTGGGCACCCTGCAGAGTTAATATCTTGTACTGCCCCCTTTGGCAAGTATCACAGCTTGTAAACGCTTTTTGTAGCCAGCCAAGAGTCTTTCAATTCTTGTTTGAGGTATCTTTGCCCATTCTTCCTTACAAAAGTCTTCCAGTTCTTTGAGATTTCTGGGCTGTCTGTCACGCCTGCTCT